TTGGTATGTAATATACGAGTTAAGACTATATTGGTTAATTGACTTGATGATTTGTTTGGTATGTAATATATGAGTTAAGACTATATTGGTTAATTGACTTGATGATTTGTTTGGTATGTAATATATGAGTTAAGACTATATTGGTTAATTGACTTGATGATTTGTTTGGTATGTGTAATATATGAGTTAAGACTATATTGGTTAATTGACTTGATGATTTGTTTGGTATGTGTAATATATGAGTTAAGACTATATTGGTTAATTGACTTGATGATTTGTTTGGTATGTGTAATATATGAGTTAAGACTATATTGGTTAATTGACTTGATGATTTGTTTGGTAAGTAATATATGAGTTAAGGCTATATTGGTTAAGTGAATTGATGATTTGTTTTGTCTGTGTAGGTCCATTCAGTAGTAGTATCCCATGTGATGATGCATTAACACAGATTTCTGAAGTAAGATCCAAGTTAATTGATTTGAAACAACAAGAAGCTACTCTGAAAAGAGGTCTTGGTATATTTAAGATTGATCAACCTCTAAACAAGGAAGTTATAGCATTGGATAAAGTGAGTATTCTATTCCATTCAATTCTGTAAAACACAGATTAAAGTAGAAGCCTACTAATAAATGCAAAAATTATAATAATATTTATTAACTCACAATATCATCCTGTAGAAGATAAAAATGGTCAAATGAAGAATAAAAAAAAAACAAGAACAAAACACTATTAATGCTCCCAACTCATTCAAGACACAATCACTGTCTGGTTTTAAGACTGGTCTTAATGAGCAATAGGAAATAAATTTATCACTCTCAGTACTTGAGGTACTGGGGTTTTATTTATTTCAGATATTGTAGATTGATATAGATTGTACACACAAGATGTATTGGTATTTTCTAATGACATGCTTGATTTTTCAATTACAGAACTGAATAAAGTTTAGAAAACATTGTTAACTTGCAATGATGTTTGATAATACCACTGACATGTGATCTAATGTAATCTAATTAGCTTTGTATAGGATTCTGATTCATTGACCAATATTCCTTTTGCATGTTACCTTCCAAACTATAGGGCAATCCCATTTCAAAACTGGTCATATACCGTAATAACCAAACCATAAAACTAGTTAATGTGACTAATGTTGAACATATTTGGATTTCTTAACACCAACTATTTGTACTGTATAACAGTTAGATAAAACTGAGACAACATCAGGTAACACATGTATGAGATATTTGCAAACTGTAATCACAAATATAAAAATGATTGCATATTGTATCAAGGCTGCTGGGCAATGGACACTTTGATGCTTTGATTGATGAGGCACACTCACTAATAATCTCACGGTTATTCACATATAGGATTTAGATTACATCGAGCAAATATGGCAATTAACCAAAGAATGGGAATGTTTGTGGGAAGAATGGAAAATTGGTTTATTCACTAGTCTGGTGACAACTGATATGGAAATGACAGCTCAAGGATTATACAAAAAATTGAACAAACTTAGCAGAGAACTAAAGGTAATTTGTTTACTTGTGGCCATAGTGATTGATTGTGTCATTTTTCTATACCATTTCTGATACACTAACCATATATGTTGTACTCCTAGGATAGAAATTGGGAGATAGTGGAGACATCCAAAAGCCGCGTAGATCAATTCAAGAGGACCATGCCATTAATAACTGACTTACATAATAATGCTATGAGAGAAAGACATTGGGTTCAAGTCAAACAGATATCCAGTAAATCATTTGACCATACTTCAGAAGAATTTACCTTGGAAAAGATTATTTCACTGGGTTTAGATCAATTTGCTGAAGGCATTGCTGATATATCTGCATCTGCCACTAAAGAGTTGGCAATAGAATTAGCCATTAAATCTATCAAAGAAACATGGGATGAAACTACACTGGATATTGGACCTTATAAAGATAGAGGGCATTTCAAACTCAAGTAAGTCACTGTTTTCACATGAATGCGTTAGGTTATCAATGAGTTAAGTCATATTTTGAATATTTATGAGATTATATTTTGATACAGGAGTACAGATGATTTATTTCAAATTCTTGAAGACAATCAAGTGCAATTATCTACTATGAAGGCATCACGTTTTGTCAAAGCTTTTGAACAAGATGTTGATCACTGGGAGAGAACACTGTCACACATCTTGGAAGTTGTAGAAATGACATTAACAGTACAGAGACAGTGGATGTATTTAGAGGTAGGTAACCCCATCAACTGTTAGGATATCAATTGTACATCAGAGATATTATGTTTATATTGCATTTGTTAGTCTTTATGTCACCGTGAAATAATTGTCTATTAAATAATTCAGTATGCCGATAGTTGTATGATACCAAATGAGTAATTTTTTGGTTAATAAATAATTACAGAATATATTCTTGGGTGAAGATATTCGTAAACAGCTTCCACGTGAATCCAATGAGTTTGATAGTGTTAATGGTAATTGGAAAATAATCATGGGACGCCTCAATAAAGACAATAATGCATTGAGAGGAACTCACTACCCAGGTAATATTAGCTTCACAATGTTTCCATATACATTGAATATACATACAATATACATATACATTCAAGTGTATCACGTTTCTGACATGGAATGACAACCATGCTTTATTGTACTTAGATCTATGTCCATTTTTAGGATACAACTTCAATAAAGACTATTACTATTACATTACAACTGATATCTATCTAATACACAGGTTTGTTAGAGACATTGAATGAAATGAATACAAAATTAGAAGAGATTCAGAAATCCCTTGACATGTACCTTGAAACCAAACGTCAGATATTTCCCAGGTTTTATTTCCTTTCCAATGATGATTTGTTGGAGATTCTTGGTCAGTCTAGAAATCCTGAAGCGGTAAGTTCTTATAACATATACTATTTATGTGATTCAGATGCTTCTAAACCAGTGTTTCTGTGCTATAATACTTTTGCTTTGTACATTTGCATTTATTGATACGTTCTCAATATACTGATTTAATTTAATTTTTAAGGTTCAACCACATCTTAAGAAATGTTTTGATAATATCAAGACTTTGAAGATGCATAAAATGGGTATTACACAGAAGTTTGAAGCATCTGGTATGTTTTCAGCTGATGGTGAATATGTAGAATTTGGGCATCCTGTTTTACTAGAAGGACCTGTTGAGGTAAGTAAATCATCAATCATCTGTGGTGTAGGTCCACTTCTCAGTTCATGTTAACATGGTTAAATCATTGTTGCTAAGAGCTACATTTATTTATAGGCCTGGTTGTGTGATATTGAAAGAACTATGAGATGGACATTAAAGGATATACTGAAGGCAACTAGGGTTGCTCTGAAAAAGAATTTAAGTAAAAGAGATAGATGGGTTAAAGAATGGCCAGGACAGGTATGTGTTCATACTAATATAACTTGAGCATTGCTGTGCAGTGTGCAATATTGTCAATTTATATGTAATGAGTTGTAATTTACTGGAAGCTAGTGAAGTTCAATATGTATTTTCTCCCATTACACATAGATGTTGATAACATCAAGTCAAATGCAATGGACAGCTGATTGTACAAAGGCATTGGCTACTACAAAAGAAAGAGGTGACCAGAAAGCATTGAAGAGTATGAAAAGAAAACAGGTATTGCAATCAATCTTGAAGTTAAATACTGCTACTGATGTGATACATGTATGTCTCTTTTCAGCTGAAATGAGTTTCCTAATACACATGTGGTTTGAGAAAATAAAACACATAAATAATATTTTAGTGATACAATGCATATCTTTCTGAACTTAACTGAATCTCAGGCATGCATGGATGACTTGTTATTGTAATCTTGAGTATTGAGTTACAATAGAAATATTGTCTTTCTAGTAAATTGAAAACAAATATGAGTAAATGCAATTGCTTGTATATTACTGATACTATAGGAGGTAACTGACAAAATATGATTGTTTTATAGATTTCAATGCTGAACAAATTCTCTGATGCAATTCGCGGCAACCTAACCAGGATGCAGAGAGCCAAGATTGTTGCCCTGGTTACAATTGAGGTACATGCCAGAGATGTGATAGAGAAGCTGATCAAAACCAAAACCAATGATGTGACAGCATTTGAATGGTTAATGCAGCTTAGAGTGTACTGGGATAAAGATATTGATGATTGTGTTGTCAGACAAACTAATACACAGTTCCAATATGGTTATGAATACTTAGGAAATTCTGGAAGATTGGTTATCACACCACTTACTGACAGGTTTGTACTCACATAATGATGTATGTACTGTTTTTACTGCATTTTAT